CCACATCAGAACCTGGCAGTAGACCTGGAGCCTCGCCTTACCTTCAGCAGAGTTAAGATCTCAGTCGGGCTGAGTCAAAGGAAAGGCTGCATCGATCTCAGCCTGGACTTGAATAGGCAGCCCACTTGCTCCTGGGACCAATATCCAGTGGCTCCCATGATCCCCCCTTTCTCTCCTGTGTCATGAAGAGGACCTGCAGCAGTCATTGACAGTCATCCCAGGTGAGCAGGTGAGTCAGCATGATTGAATCTAGAAGACCTGTGAGAGCTGATGGTCTTTCTAAAAATGAGGGCTGGGGCGGGGGGGAGTTCTGTAACTTCCAATTGTAAAAATCATTACTGGCAAATGGCATATATGTCATGAACCGTCTCCACCGACCATCTGGGGACATGCAGTCCAGAATGGTAAGGCAGTAGTAGAGTCTGCCCTCTGGGAAGTACAGGCCCAAGTATGAGGTGGACTTCAAGTGGAGTCAGGAGAGTCAGGGGAGACATGGGCTGCTCCTCCCTCTGCCTGTGCTGGCTGGACAGGTGCAGTGGCAGCAGGACCAGAAACATAAGGAAGGGAACGGAGATCCTTCTTGGGAGCAAAAAGGGGGAGCAAGGCAGGGACCAAGGTTGACTGTTCTTTAGTGGAAGAAGGCCTGTAACAAAAAAGGTCACACCCAAACAGGGGGTTCTCAACCAGCTGTTGCCACATGGTGACATATGGCACTTGGCCTGGGTGGTACCAGGCCTCGTAAATTAAAATTAAACCTTTATCCTGTAATTGATGAAGAAATGGAAAGTCCCTTTTTCTGGACATAGGTGGGCTACTCATTTCTGCAAAAGATGGTTAGTTTATGGGGACAACAACCAGACTCGAGGTGACTCAGTACAAGTCCTTAAAATAGTTCTGGACCAAGCCCAGTGGTGTGCTTTGTGCCTTTCTCATCCTAGGAATCAAACAATAATTTGTATGAGAGGACAAAAAGCACAAACAGAATATACATAGACAGACACAGAAGGATATTCCTGTGAAGACAAAAACAAACCCAAAAGGCTGTCTCAGATGGTCTTCCTCTCTGCGCATAGGAGGCCCACAGACCCACAGCTAGTTCAGAATATAGATGAGAACTAGCAAGTTCTTCTGCTTCTGGTATGGAGTTGGGAGCATCCTCCACAGCCCCTGGCAAGCTGACAAAATACACATCCATGTTGTCACTCCCACCCTCCAGACTAAATATGAAACAGAATTAAACCCAAAACAGAAACACAGATATGGACAAAAGACAACTGAATGCCCAGACTTACTGACTGAGAAAAAACCCCACTCCATTATTTGGGTGAGGATATCTCCAGTGAATCCCCAGATGAGCCTCCAAATGTAAGGGTGGCATTCACTGAAGAATGACACCTCAGACTCAAATAGTATGTAAACGCAAAGAGTGTTTTATTCTGCAGAATTCCAGCATTCTGGGATTTCTCATTAACAAGAGACCACCAGGGACCACAGTTCTGATGCAAACATACAAGAGTTTTTATTCGAGTTAAAACTTGGGTCACAAAACTTCCTGATGCAACAGGTTAGGAAAGAGACACCCTGGTCTAGGGGACTAGGTGTTATGTAGGGAAAAATTGCAAACAGGGGCTTCCAAGCCTTGGTGTTACATGATTGGATATGTGGGGAATAAAATGCTGGCCTTTAGACTGATTAGTGTATAGCATCTGTTCAAACCACAAGGAGAGACCATACATCTAAAAGAAGCATTTTGACTCATGTTTTCTTAGCTCATCCTGTTACTGTGACCAGCTTATCCTGTTATTATGAGCTGGCCACAGCTGTTATGTCTATTTCCAACTGCTGAGGACACTCTGGTCTTTTTCTCAGAGTTCAAGGGTGAGGCCATGTCACCCAGAGGACAAGGAACTCAGACTGGAGTATAAAGAGCAAAATGGAGTTTATCCTGCTACTTTGATCTCTTCAGTGTACAGCCAGGTGAGCTCGAGGGCCTAACTCAAAGCACATTAGGGGATTCCGGGCAGATAACTTCATCTTGCTCCATCTCTGGGGACATCACAGAAGCACTGCCAGGGTGTAGGGGCTGGAAATTGCTGCTGGTGAAACTGTTGTTAACCTATTGCTCTTGCTTCAGGCCAGGCAGCTGGGCAGCTTCAGATGGCAAGACAGTTTCTGACTGGACAATCCCCAGCGGAATTGACAGGGGTTGAACATGGGAAAAACCATAGTGAGAGGAAGTCAGGAGGACAGATAGAAAAGCACACAGGAATGTTTTTTTTTTTTTTTTTTTTTGAAAAATTTTGAGACATTGTGGAGAACTAGTTTTTCCTTCTGGGACTTCATCTGAGAAGGAAGGTCAGCTGAGTGCTTTCTCTGCCTCTCTGATCTAGCGGGGCTGTACCTCAGCATCTGGCTACTGAGTCTTCACTGGTAAAATCAAACAACTGCAATTTGTTAAAAACAAAGTTGTGACGTAGGTGACGTGTGCAGAGGTGCAGCGCTTCTCTTGGAGACTGATGGGACTCAGAGCCCAGAGTGTACAGCAACAGTAAGGTTGGGAGTGCAGAGGACTACGGTGAGCAGTGTGGGAAGGGCAGGATGGCAAAGGGGAGGGGAGAAAGAATCTGAAGGAGAGGGAAGTAGAGGGCCATCTATAGCAAGACACCCCACACCACCTAAGTCAAAACTCTGTGTTCAATGGCACCTGATATCTAAGTCAGAGACATGTCCCGGAGGCACCTTGCCCTTGTTGGATCCATCCACCCATCCATCCATCCATCCATCCATCCATCCATCCATCCATCCATCCATTTGTACTTATTGGGAGTAACCTTGCTTATATATTAATTGGCCTAAGTCAGCCATACACGCCTACTGACACAAAGTCTTGGTCTCTGTGGGAAAACACTGACCCTAGAACAGATAGCTATGGATATTGTAGACAGGTAGCCCTGGTGGGAAAGTACCAGCCTAGATAAGAACAAATGAACAATAGATCTTATGGACAGGTAGCTTTGGTGGGAAAGTATTAACTTAGGTAAGAATAAATGAATAGATCTTATGGACAGGTACATAGTGACCTCTTCTGCCCTGCTGCTTCTGTGAAGTCTTCACCCAGCCAATATCCTGTTCTGGAGAACATTTGTACTCCCCCTGAGATCACCTGCACTCCCCAGAAACAAAGAAGACCCTACATCACCCTCTCCCCATATCCTACTTCTATGTGTATATAACCCCAGTATGGAAAAATTAAAATTTGACAGTTTGATCAGACTCTAGACAGTTTCTTGCATACCCTTGCTCCCTGGTTCTCTCTTCTAGGTCCTCTGGATCCTAGTTCATGTCCCATGGGACTGGGGCACTGACTGCTCTGTATGTGGGTCCCATCAGCCACTCCCTGTGCCACAGAGCCAGTATCTCTATCCTTTGAAGCAAGGTTTGCTCTTGGCCATTCAATACCTCCACATCCTCAGAGATGTCCAGGACAGCTTGGTGCACTGTCAGAGCCTCCTTCAGCATTACACCTTATTTCCACAGCTCTGTAATCTGGAGAGGATGCAGGCTATAAGTGTAACCACCATGAGCTAGATGAGGACTATGGAGTTCTTCATTGAGCAGCTTGGTATGACATCGCTGACAGGGGCTCAACTGACTCAAAACTGGTATTTGTACAATGGAGAGGTTGAAAATGTTTCTCATAGATTTAATTATTTGGGAAGGAAAAACTATCCAAAGAAAGAATTATTTTTGACCCTAAGAGGATTCATTAATATTTAATATTAATCCCAATTCAGGGTTTCTACCCCAACTTTAACCATTTAGTTTCTGGATAAAAGACACACACACACACACACACACACACACACACAACCTTTATATTTACAGTAAGTCTTAATCAGCACGAGAGCTGGCCAGATACCTATCCTCTATGCTATTCTGTCTATTTCCCAGCCAATAATGTCATTACATAATTTGCCATGTTTCATTTGGTTGCCCTTAACTCCAATTAGCCAACCCATATGACCATTATTTCCTGACTCACCTAACCCATTCACCCTCATTCACCTTCTCTTCTCCTCATGGTCTCTTCCAACCCCTCTCCCCCTGGCTGGGCACACCAAGCACCACCTATCTGAATTCTGCCCAGCTATAGACTGGAGGCATATTTATTTATCAATCAGAAATAACTTGGGGGCAAGGTCATATAGCATCACTTGGGTCTACATGCAGACTCATCTCTAGGGCAACCAGGTCTTGGGGGCCAGCACTTAGCATTATAATACATAGCAACAGAACAAACCTCAAAACTCTCTGCTCACAGCAAACGAAAACCATACATTGTGTGGCCTACAGGTCAGCAAATACTTTGTTTTATGGACATTTAAGAAACAAACCAGGCCAGTCCCATTCTTAGAGTCTCTGTTGGAACATCTCAGGGAACACTAGGGACCAGAGATGACTGGTCATGCCCAGTGACCCATAAATTCAATTTTAATTTTAATCTAATTTATGGGATACCCCAATGTTGACTTGTGTCCTCCACACAAGACCATACACATGAAGAACACATATATTAAGATACAATTGCAGGGCAATGAGATGGTTAAGGAGGTACAGTCACTGGGTGACAAGGCATTCACATGGCTGAATGAGAAAATGGATTCAGTAATGTTGTCCCCTGACCTTCACACTTGTAGGTCCCCAGCAAATGAATGCAACTAAAAAAAAAAAAAAATGAAAAAGGTACATTTGGAGAACTTGGGTTGAAATGCTAACTTATGATACATATGCTAGCTGTGATACTTTGTGTGAATGGCTCACCACTGTCGCGTCCACCCTCGACCAGCAAGGAAGACGCAAAACGCGAGCTCTTCTCCAAGAAGTTTATTCAGGACCTTTGAACAATCTTCTAACTGACGACCATCTTCTAACTGACGACTCTGGGGGAAGCCTCTCCCAGGCTTAAGTACTCTAGGACTAGCCAAGCCCCGTCTGCCACGTGGCAACAGCAGATAGGTCCGCACTCACGGAGACAAGCCAGATCACCAGCCACAGCCATATAAGGAGTTGTTTACTCCTAAGAGTTCTCGCCAACAGGTGGTGGAAGGCGGAGACTGGTGCCATCTTAAAGGCACAGCACTATGCGGCTTTCCACAGTTCCCCCTTTTTGTTTTTATACGAAACAGGTGAGAGTAGAGGTCTGATCTCAGAAAGAACAACGAACATTGTGCTAACCCTCCCTGAGCATCCCTGCCCAGGCAGTGTCAGATCTGTCCAGTGCCAATTTTTGCTGAGGCGGGAACAACGTTGGAACCGGTTGGGGGAAAGGACGGCACTAACCCGCATCAATCAGACTTGCTCCCCTTGAGGCTGCTAGCAGCTGACAGCATACCTCAAGTGCAGTGCTTAGCCTCGCAACCTGAACGTGATGACTCAAGGCTTGATGGCTGCCAGCCAAGCTTGGGGGAACCGTCCGGCCTCAAAGGCAGTAAAGGCTTGGATAATCATGGCTGCATTACGTTTTTGTGTAACCCTAACCTTGCAAATAAACCACAGGCAGATAGAGGAGGCTAGCACCATGAGTATAGCCAAGGATCCCAAACCCGCCCACTTGGTCAAGAGGAAGATGTCACGAAGCAGGGGTTCTCTAGATGCCTCCAGCTCCCTCAGTCTCTAACCCTGGTGTCACTGTCACCATCATCATCTCGAGCCTCAGGAGGGTCTTCATGGCGAACCTTCCGCACCAGGCGCTCGGGCACCCACACTGGATCTTGCTGGTCCTGAGGAAAAACACAAACAGAACCTCGTGCCCCTGTCAGCACGGGATCAGGCCCTCGCCAGGAGCCCATTAGGACATCTTTCCATTTTACCATGCTTCTAGAGGGGCCATGAGAATTCTGATGTCTGTCCACAGCTGAGCGGCCGTGGACATCCAAATTTAAAAAATTTAGGGTAAATAAGGCTAACGATATTCTCTCCTTGGGGGCACGGCCTTGGCCTACTCCCCCTTTTTGTTTTTGTAGGCATTCTTTTAAGGTGCGATGAGCACGTTCCACAATACCCTGTAGAATCTCAGTCAGGTTGCCACTTACTTCCCCTTTATTAGGTAAAGACTTCCACGCCTTAATGGCGATCTGATTTACTTGCTCAAACACTTGCACAGGATACCCTGTCTGCTGGTTGGCAAATCTTCCTTGTCCCAGCAACATATCCCTATCCCAAGCAGGATTACCATTCCTCTGATTTGTAGCAGCCTGCTCTGTAGTATACTCAATGAGGAATGCCTTCCAATCCAGATATTGCCCAGGGCTCAAACAGGCACGAGCCAAGCTGCTCCAATCACTAGGTGTCATACAATGTCTATTTAATGCCTCAACTTGAGCCAGAGTGAACGTAATGCCATATGTCCTGATTCTGCCAAAGATTTTATGACCTTAAAATCAAGAGGCTCCTCATAACGATTACCTTGAGCATCTTGAAAAACTGGGCAAGCAAGTTGCAACTCCGATCTCACTGCTCGCCATACTTCTGGGTAAAATGAATGTCCCGAGCCTTCAATAGGGGCGCTCGGGGCATTATATGGCGGAGGAGTAGGAGGCACTACCCCTGATGGCCCTGCAGTTGTCTCTGGGTCTTTGTCTACCTCCCTTTTCTTCTTTCCTTCTTTCAGAGAGTGTTTCTCTACCTTTTCAATCAGAGCTTGAAGCTCCTCATCAGTATCTGACCAGTCTGTGTCAGAATCCTCCTTCCCACTCGACTTAACTGAGCGCTCCTCTTTCAGCATTTCCAGGGCAGTCTGTCCCTCCTCTACTGCCCTGCAGCACCTCTGATCCTCCAAACAGTTCCTGATAAGCTTCCACACAGGTCTGACCCCTGACTTGAGCGTTCCCTGACCCCATGCAAAGTCTAGATCCTTTCCCAATTTATCCCAACAATCGATAGTTAAATTACCGGAAACTGCGAACCAAGGAGCAATGATATCACACTCATCCAAAAACCTTTCAAGGGTGCTTTTCTTAAGTTTCAAATTTTTAGATAACAGCAGCAGCTCCTGAAGAGCCAAAAAAAATTGGGTGCGACTGAGAAGCGCCCATACTTTCGGCACACTGTGCCTTTCACTTTTGGTCTGCAACAATGTAAACTTTTCCGCTCTGTCTGCAGAGAAGAGCAAAATGGCTGCACTCCGTGGACTTTATTGTTCCAACTCACCTCGGGAGCTTTCCCTTATTCCACAACTTTCCCTCGTCCCATTTACCTGGGAACTTTCCCTCGTCCCACTGACCTGGGAGCTTTATTGTTCCTACCCAGAAACTTTATTGCCTCTTTTACCGAGGGCCTTCCCTTGTCCCAACTTAACCTGGGAACTTACCGGTGCACCACCCTGACTGCTTGAAGTTCTGAGCTTCGCTTTCCCCTATTGTCGCGCGTATGGGCCGCCAGTTGTCGCGTCCACCCTCGACCAGCAAGGAAGACTCAACGCAGGAGCTCTTCTCCAAGCAGTTTATTCAGGACCCTTGAACAATCTTCTGACTGCCGAGCCTGGGGGAAGCGTCTCCCAGGCTTAAGTACTCTAGGAATAGCCAACCCCCGTCTGCCACGTGGCAACAGCAGATAGGTACACACACACACACACACACACACACACACACACACACACACGGAGACCAGCCAGATCAACTGCCACAGCCAAATAAGGACTTGTTTACTCCTAAGAGTCCTCGCCAGCAGGTGGCGGAAGGCGCAGACCGGTGCCATCTTAAAGGCACAGGACTATGCGGCTCTCCACACACCACTCTATGTTTGTTACTACAAATGGGTATATTGACAGAGAGCAGTATGTGCTCTACACTTGTTACCATGGTTAAAACAAGCATTTGGAGCATGGACATCAAGACTAAATCTAACTGAAACGTTCCTTTTTCCTCTGTCCTTGGTTTTCTGAGTGAGAAATGGGGTGAATCCAGAAGACCTTGCTGGCTGGGAGGTTCTTCAGTTTTGTGTATTCTCACCTGACTGGGCCCTGACAGTTCTTGCCCTTTCCAGAGTTTCTTGAGTAAAGCTGTGGGCCCAGTGTACCTGCTTTGCCTTTGTATAAACTTCCAAAAGCTGCTACTCAGCCATGGTCAGGTGGGTCATAGGTCTCTCAGAGCAAGATCTGAGGCAAGGCTAACAGTACTTCAGATACTAACAGGCTTCAGATACTGTATCCAGGATCTTTCTCAAGAAAACCTAGCTGTCCCTTCATTTAAGGAGTTCTGGGCATGCAATCTGGCTCAAATTGATTCATGGGATAAGACTTCCTTTTGGCACGATTTTTTTTTTTTGAGTGTTTTCCCATGTATACAGATCAAACACAAATTCAGTAAGCTTCTTATCTTATCAACCACCATATTGATTAGCAAGTACCAAAGGTCCAAGGGAATCACACCACCATAAATTTTACTTTGCCTGTGCTTACCTCTATGAATTAAGCAATAACAGATTGTATTGTTGATTATAACAATTATGATAGACTTGCCTTTGTCAGTCATTGCTGCCACCTTTCTCCTGCTATCTCAGGGCCTAATTAAACCCACTGCATTTAATTCATCCAGCTGAACAAGAACATCTTCAACCCTTCATTTGGGCACAAGGAAATGTCGGACAACAAAGGACTTCAGGGCAGGCAGTGGTGGCACAAGCCTTTAATCCCAGCACTTAGGAGGCAGAGGCCGGCCTGGTCTACAGAGTGAGTTCCAGGACAGCCAGGGCTATTCAGAAAAACCCTGTCTCAAAAAGACAAAAAAACAAAAACAAAACAAAACAAAACAAAGCACTTCAAATGTGTATGTGTCCCTCTCAACATTTGACTTCTTACAGGATTAGTGAAGGGTATGTTTTCTGGGCCTTCTCATTGTATAGGATTAGGTTTTATACAGCATACCTGCTCTAGCCTAGCATTGTGATTGCCATAAGCCTTAAAATTCTTTTATCAACATGAAACCAAAGAACGTCAGGAATCTGCCCACCCATACAGGTACCCAAGGAAAGTAGCAGGGTATGGCAACAGCAACTGGGGCCAAAATCTGATGAGTTCTGGAAACTAAACTTGCTATTCTGGAGCTGAAAGCTGATGGCTTTTGGCAATTTAACTCTTCCTCTCTCTGACAATTTACTCCTGCTGATAGCAGCAGGGGATTAAGAAAATAAGCTTCTTTACTTGGGCTCTTTTCTCTTTGGCTCAGGTGCCCTGTGCTGGCCAGGCAAGTGGCTGAGGATTTAACTCTTCATGAGCCAGAGAGAAAAGGAAAGAAAAAAGAAAGAGACAGAAAGGAAGGAAGGAAGGAAGGAAGGAAGGAAGGAAGGAAGAAGGAAAGAAAGAAGAAAGTCAGATACACACAGACACATGCAGACTGGGTGAAACTGAAAAGGGCTGCACCCAACCTTTTTATTGCTTTCAGCTTTTTATAGCTTTTTAAACAAAAAGTTCTCTATGTAAGAAAAGTTACCTCATGGATAAAATGTTACATAAAAGGGGACTTGCAGAGGATGTCGACAGGAAGTTCAAAGCAGTGTTCCATTTTATAAGTCCATTGTAAGTTCAAAGTGACAGTTTCACATGACCTTGCTTTATCACAGTGCGCACCTGCGGCCTCATCCTTGGACCTGACCTAGAATGAATGTATTTCTTTGATCACAACTTTGTCCTAAGCCTATATCTCTTCTCAGTGCAATTTCTGATAGCTCATGGTATTCCTAATTATGCAGCCTTTACTTACTCTATGAAGAGGGATCACAACAAAAACCATCTCCTTAAACTTTCCTCCTAGATAGGGATTTTATAGAGTCATTAATTCATCTAAACAACATTAATTTATGAAAGTTCATCTTCATATTGATCTACAGGAAATTTATGCAATAGGGTGGCTCACCACCCAGGAAGTAATCACAGCAGATTACAGGCAGTGAGGACCTCCCAGGGTTGACTCACTCCAAGACAAATGGCAAAGATGAAAAAGCACTGCAGTAGCAAGAAACACTCCTGGGATGAAGGCCCTGGGGCTGTGTTCTACCAGAGTGTACTCACTGCAGTGAAGCAAGACAATGGGCCATCTCCAGGGATATCTCACTCACCCTCTGCGGCTCTCCTGGATCTCACTTGCCCACTGCAGCTCTCCCTGCATGGTCTCATCCAGAATCTCCACATTTTTAGTAGCCCATCCGCTGACAAACTCACCAGTCAATCATTCAAACTGTCTTTTGATCCTTTTTTGGGGGAAAACAAAACAAAACACAAACAACAACAACAAAACTCTTCCATAATAAACCTACAATCTCCATTCAGAGGGCCTATATCAATACATTCAGCCTGAACTAGGTTTATGATTCTTTCAGCCTTATCCATCACCCTTAAGATGCATTCTCACACATACTGCCTCTGGCTACTTCTTGGCCAAATCAGCAAAGTGAGCTTGTTAGTGGTGTAGGGCAGAGCCTCATAACCTACACTGTCTACTTCCCATCCACAACCCTGCTTTGCCTTAACTCTGGCTGTAGGTGAGAGGCACATATTAGTCTGTCCTTAGGAACATCAACACTCTTTGACCTGACATTTTCTTCCATAGAAAGTAAAGGATGCTTAGCAGACAATCAAGGATTACTCTCCTTAGTCACATGTGAAAGGGCAGTATGTCAAGCTGTGGGAATCAGGGTGTTATTAAGTGTTTTCAGGTGGAAAAAAACCCATGAGACTCTGAGGTCTCAAAGTTCTCAGCTTCAGTTGGGTCCTTCCACACATCCTCATTACAAGTAACAGGATTCCATGCTTTTCCAGTTAAAGCCCTTACTTTAACTGCTAACACTTTTAAGGCTAGGACTTGGATTTTCATTGTAATTCAGCCAAAATTATTGAGGTTCAATTTACACAACTAAAACTTACCATTTTAAATGATTTGACTTATCATTGACACTATCTTATGTAGCCATCACAGCTACACTTTAAAAACCAGGGGAGGACATGAGAACTTATCTTTAAAAACAAACATTTTCAAGTAGCAATGGCACACTTCTATCACTGCACTAGATGCAGTAGGACCTGGGAAAACTAAACTGGTCAGTGAGGTGACCAAAGACTCATGCAACAGACAACCTTACGCAGGGCTCCAGGCAACTTATACACTACAGGTTGAGCAAGCTCATGATAAAGGTCTCATGAGCTCAAGCTCTATGCCATCACAGGACACACCAGACTTGGAAAAGATGTTTTGTCCATGGAGCATATAAAGGATTCTTCAAACATTTAATTAATAATATTAGCAAGCAATAATGAATATTTTTATATAACCAGACTTCTATTTGTCATACCTGAGAGAAGCACAAAAGCACATTACAAGAATAATTCCGTTTTGAAGAAAGTGAGATCAAAGATACTTGTTTTCTTGTGGTGCTTTTCAAAAGCACTAAGAATCCTCTGGTTCTGCATTTCCACCTCACAGCTGGGGTGTCAAGCTCATAGGATGCCAACATGCTGCACAGGGGAGGCAAAAAGCTGCAGTGTAAGACAGGGGTACAGGCCCATGTTTCTCTGGGTGAGAAATGGTAGGGACTGGAACAGAGGCTGTGGTTCTCAAACTCCTGGGCACTAAGACACCATGAGGTGTTGAGAATGGGGGCCATGGCCTTCAATGAGCCTGGAGTGGGGTGGGGTGGGGTGGGGTGGGAATCTGGCTTAGCTCACAGTGAGTTTCAGAAGTGCAGAGGGGCCTTCTGTGGGAAACTTAGGCACAGCTCGGTATGATGAAGGCCTCTCCCCCCAGCTGTCTTTTATGGAGACAGCCCTTGATTGTCCAAACTGCTTTATTCATGGCAGATAAGTATACATGAGTTTCTCAGGGTAAACCAGAGATTAAATACCTTTTGCAGAAGGGATGCTCATTGGCTAAACACTTGTGCCCCTAGATACCTCATTAACATGGACTCTGGGCTCTATGCTACATGACTGGTTGTCATGGTTCCCTTAGTGGGGTGTTATGGTCTTGTGCTCCTGGACAGCAATCTCGTTGGCAGCAGTCTGAAGTCCACCATTCTCAACTATGAGTTTTATCAGAGTTCGGAACTTTGCTGCTATCTTACCAGTTCTGTCTGGTGGCATGGTCCACTGCCCCACAGAATTCTCCTCACATAACTCAATTCTTGAACTGAGTTCTTTTTTTTTTTTTTTTTTTTTTTTTTTTTTTTTTTTTTGCAGACAGTCAACAGCCTGGTGGTTGATGAGGATGGGGGAATGGGAATTGTAAGTAACTGGCATATGAGAATGCTAATGCTGCATGCCAGACTGTCATTCATCCTTCTAGAAAAAAAGATATTTATTACATCTGCTTCTGTGTTGATATTGGCCTTCATATTTACAAGTGTTCTCTCTGGCTGCAGCCCTCCAATAGCCAAAAGGTGCCTCAATTATTGGCAGCCATCCAACAAGGAAAAAAAATGAATAAAAATAATGGTAATAGATCTTTAAATATAGCAATTCTGGTCATTTTTAACTGACAATGTCTACAAAG